CTTCCCTACAGCATAGCATAGAAGATATATGCTTCCCTTACCATCCAGTCGTCCAATTTTGATCATGAGAGCTGCTCACCGTTTGATCTTGGATCCAACGTCTCAAAATATTTTATTTTTAATTTTTTTATATAAATTGTATGAATTTGAAATTCGGTACGTGCCATCTTCTCATTGGGGCACACCTATAAAAAATATTAAAAATAAATTTTCAATAAAATATAATAACCAAAATACATCTTGAACTTTTAGAGGTATTTTGGTCATTTTATTTTATTGAAAATATTGTTTTTATATTTTTCGTTAGTGCAAATTTAATAGAAGATTGGACGTCCAAAATTTGGTGTCAAAATAGTTTATAAAAAAAACATTAAAAATAAAATAGTGTAAAGACGTAACATTGTGATTGGAGACCAGGGGAAATATATAAGTTTTTATGCTGGTAGGGGAATTATAAAAAACTTGTCCCCACCCTATAGACTCTTATTTTAATTTTTATTTAGTTTTAAGAGAAAGGTTTCTATATTTTTCCTACAACATAGCATCCTCTACCATCCAGCTGTTCAATTTTGATCAAGAGAGTACTTACTGTTTGATCTTCAATCCGACGTCTTAAAGTATTTTATTTTTACTTTTATTTTTTATACAAATTGTATGAATATGAAATTGGATACTTGCCATCTTTTTATTGGGGCACATCTATAAAAAATATTAAAAATAATTTTTCGATAAAATATAATGACTAAAATAGCTCTTGAATCATTTAAAAGTATTTTGGTCATTTTATTTTATTTGAAATATATTCTTTATATTTTTCGCTAATGTGAGTTTAATAGACGATTGGAAGTCCAAAATTTAGTTTCAAAAGAGGGAGAACGTTGATTACTCCATTTTTAAAAACACTTTTCTAGTAAGAAGAATCCACCTCCCCCACTAGGAATGTTTTATCTGGGGCAGGTTGCAGTCAGCCCGTCTTCTTCGGCAGCACCATGAAAGAGATTGAGGGAAAACCAGAAGCCCCATAATCCCTCCTAATTCACAGGGTGAAGTTTTCTTGAGTTTTGATAGCCCACCATGCATTTATCTCTAACAATGGATACCATGTGGAGGGATTTCCTTAAAGGCATGCTGAAACCAGTTGCTGCTACAACTGTGGTTCTAATGGCGGTTGTGCTTTCATACTTTCAGAAGCTGGGTTTAGAGGGAGAGATGGTGTACGCCATTCTCAGGGCTTTTCTTCAGCTCTCTGTTATTGGGTTTGTGTTGCAGTTCATCTTTACTCAGGAGAACGCTGGATGGATAATGGCGGCTTACCTGTTCATGGTTGGTCTCTCTCTCTGGTAGTTGGGAATTTTCCAATCTTATGCATTAACTGGGTTGCCAAGTTTGTCAAAATTGGTCTACTCTCCTTTTATCAAAATGGGTCCCTTGAGATGTAGAGAATCTGTTATTGGAAGTGGTTAATAGTTAAATCATTCTTTTATTGCCGGGGTTAGGTAAAATGTTGTGGCTTTGATGTATGCCCGAAGAGATTGTATATTTTAGTTTGAACTTAAGTGTTAAAATCTCTGTATTCATAATTTTGTGTTCATTGTGTTCAGTGATCATGCGTGATTTTTTTATGTAGATTCTGTTATTAATAAGTACGATGGGGGCTTAGTCTTATTCTTCAGTTCAATTTAACATGTTAAGTACACAATCTCTCATGTGGATTCTGTTTATAATAAGTATGATAGGGTGTCATTGATTGGGGATAGTGTCTGTTTCTTTGTTTGGGATAGTTGTCTTTCTATCTCTTACTTATTTATCATAGCCGGTGTTTCCTTCTCTTATCTTCTGTTTTAAATGAAGTTTGGTGATCAGAATGTACCTTTTGTTTCTGGTTAGAAATGATTGGGGTTAGGGTGAGTAAAAGTTAGTTGCTGTATTTTAGTTGTCTTGAAGGCTACTTGAGAGTCCTATAAAAGGTCTTCTAGTTGAAGAAGGAATGAAAAAGTGACTCTTCTGGGGCTTATAGCTCACAGGAGGCTTTCCCCCAACGAACTAGGAAAAAACATGTCCTGACCATTTCTTTTTGTCCAACACCATCAAAGGCCTAAGGGGGTTCCTTGGATTAGCTGGGTACTCCGGTAAATTCGTCTAGACACATTTCAGTGGATTGAGGAATTGGAATTCACTTTTAGTAATCTAAAGAAAGCTATGATGTTAACCCCAGGTTTTGGCTCTTCTTGGTTCTCGTAAGACCTTTGTGATCGGCAACTGTTGCTTCAGGAAATGGAGTTGTTGGAGTATTGATGCAAGAAGGTTGACCATTGGCTGTCACAGGAGAGGTGTTGAGTGGAAGGAACATGTGATTCTCTACTTACAGGAAGGGCATGTTGGTGCAATAGAACATTGTGTTTCAAGATTTACGGATACAATCTGTATTTAAACTACATGATGGATCAGTGAATGTCTACAATGGCTGAACATAAATGGATGGAAAACTTGATCTGTATGACTACGAGATCATTTACTGAAAGGGACTGAAAATATAGCTGCAGATGCTTTCTCACATATATTTGAGGCAGGGGGTATAACCATCATCTCTTCTCCTTGGTTTGTATGGATGGAAGTTTAAAAGGTGTATAATATGGACAACAATTTATAAAAAATCATTCAAGAGCTACAGAATCAGTCTACCCCTGCTCAATACTATTCTTATGACAATGGGTTCTTCGCTATAAAGGGGCTGAATCCAAGTGCTGAAAAGCAAATTCTAAAGGAGTTGCATGCATCACCTCCCCTGGCATTCAGGGTAGCTTAATACTTACAAACGGGTATCTAATACCCTTTACAGGAAGGGCATACACCACGTCATTGAGATGTTCGTAGCTTAATATGATGTTTGCCAAAGAAATAAACATGAAACTGTAGCCTTCCCAGCCTTAACAGCCTTTGCAAACCCAAATTCTTACTTGTACAGAAATATCTATGGATTCTATTATTGTGGGGTTACTAGCGTCACATGAAAATAGTGTGATTTTTGTCCCTGTAGATCTCTTGTCCAAATAAGCCCATTTCGTGTTTATGGTCTGTCCATTCACAGCAGCAAGTTGCACAAGTTTTCATAGAGAAGATACATTGTGTGTCTTCCACCATAGTTAGTGACCAAGATGCTGTCTCACAAGGAATTTTCGGTGAGGATTCTTTCGTTTGCAGGGCATCCATCTCCAAGTGAGCCTGTCGTACCACCCTCAAACAGTTGGGAAAACGAAGGTGGTTAATAGGCATTGGGGACTTCATGAAGTGCTTCTCTAACTTCCAACCCAAATATTGAGTGAAGTTGCTTCGGGAGAATGGTGGTATGCTACGGCTTTTCACTTCTCAACTCAGATGACTTCTTATGAGCTTGTATATGGCAACCTTCACCTAGCATCCTTCCATGCGATCCAACACTGTTGTGCAACATGTGGATGTGAATTAAGGAGTGGGGACCTACTTCTTCATTTGCTCAATGAAAACCTACAAACAGCTCAAGAACAAATGAAGCAAGAGCGGACAAGCACCAATCAGAAAGATGCTTTATCTATGTCTCTATCCATAATGGCAAACAGCAGTAACAGTTTGGGGATCATTGAAGTTGTCTCCATGTTTCTATGGCGCATATCATATCATTCAAAAGATTGATTCAGTAGCTTACAAACTCGAGCTAAATTCACCCGAGCTTCCACATCTCCAACCAAAAAAAGAACTTGAACTAAATTCACCCTGTAGTCCACATCTCCACCAAAAGATGAAGTGGGGGCAAGGTAGTATTGCTGTTGAGAATTTTGCCATTTATCACTGATGTTGGAGCTGTCCAAATAGAGCCACAAGCATTTTGAACAGGTGGATGGTGAACAAAAATGATAAGGTGGCTATGGAGGTCTTATTGCTATGCGCACTCACACTAGCTGAAGATGTGACTTGTGAGGACTACCAGAAGCTTCATGAGCGATTTCTACAATTCCAATCTTGAGGACATGGTTACTGTCTATGGGTTGGAATTGTTCATTGAGGATAGTGTCTTTCTCTCTTTTGGGGTGGTTATTTTTCTTTCTCTAACATCTTTCTCTTAGTAGGTGTTCCCTTCTCTAACTTATCTTCTTTTTCATGTAAGTTTGGATCATCATGAGGGTGCAAGTTTAGAATTGATTTGAGTGAGGGTAAATAGAAGTTAATATGAATTAGAGTTGCATTAGAGGCTACATGGGAGTCCAATAAAAGGTCTTGTAATTGTCGATAGAAGGAATCAGAAGTATCTCTTTTGGGGCTGATGTCTCGTAGGAGGTTCTCCCCTCTCAGAGAAGGAAAAAATTTGTTCTTACCAAGATGGTTGTCTTTCTCTCTCTAACTTCTTTCAGCCAGTAGGCATGTCCTTCTCTCGCTTATCTTCTATGTTAAATGAATTTCAGTAATCTTAAGGTTGAGCAAATGTGTATTATTTTTTAGTTAGAATTGATTTGGGTGAGGGTGAATAGAATTTAGTTTCTAAATTTGAGTTGCTTTAGGGGCTGAGAGTCAAATAAAAGGTCTTAATAGAATTTAGTTCCTAAATTTGAGTTGCTTTGGGGGCCGAGAGTCAAATAAAAGGTCTTGTAATTGTTTAAAGAAGGAAATAAAAAATGTTTTTTGTCACTTGTAGGTCATTGGAGGCCCTCCCCCCACAAAGTGAGAAAAAAATGTGTTCTTACCACCTACAACACCTACACACACAAACACAAACTAAGGCAAAACTCTAAATTTTGTCCAAACTCAAGCAGTCCACAATACTATTTGTTTGAGGAACTGCAGCCCTGTAAGCTCTGATTTTTCTCATATTGGTTCAATCCACGAGTCTAAATTATGGCACTAGTGGCATTATCATTAGACTAGGTTTATTTGACATGGGTTGCATCATGATAGAACTATAAGGAGAAATGCTTTGTTTACTCTTCTTTGTCAATACACATTGACTCGATGGGTTCATTGACAGATTTGGAAGCCTCTTAAATTGAAATTTTTTGTTCTTGTAATGATGTATTCTAGGAGTTCAGATTTTGGTTTTCACAAGTTGAATCTCAAACTCAAGTTCAATGTCGACGGGAGTTTAAGAATTTTAGCTTAAAATATCTGCCATCTATTAGAGTTCCTAGGTTAGGATTGATTTCTGTAAACCTATTATGCCTCTCTATGAAATCCGATGCCTTGATTTCTTTCTATGGGACATATCAGGACAGAATTTCCTTAACATATAATGCATATTAAATCCATGATTTGCTTGGAAATATGTTACATAGATTCTTATATTTGGATGGCGTTCCCACGTTGGACACTTTTTGACTCCTAACTGCACATATTTTATTGATTCTTCTTCATGATAATTAAACATTGATTGCATCATTAATAGGGACTTGATCTCCTTTTTATGTTTAGTAGACACGTGAACTTTGAAAATGTCTATGAAACTTTAAAAGTATCACTTTGAAAATGTCTATGAAACTTAAAAAATATCCACGAAATCTGCCAATTAAGGTATAATTGATTATCTCTTTCTCCGTTTCATGAAATGAAATACTGGTAAAACATTGTTGGAGTTGGTTCTGTTCAGAATATAGCCATGTTGCTAAATCCCCTTCTCCATGGCATGAGGAATCTGATACCCGGTACTCATTTCAGATATAGACACACTTACGCGTTTCCATGCAACCTAAGCTTGTGATCTTTCTCAGGCTGAGAGGGCCTTTCTTGAATTGAGGGTATACCCTTTCGCAATACTTATCTCAATGACATCTTATTTGTGAGCCCAAGGACTAACTAATTTGGAAAAGAGACAAAATCTATAGGGGACTGCTATAATTCTTTAAGAGTAAATCATTTTTTATTGTTTGAATGTGAAATTAAACATTAGCTACTAACGCTGTTGGACTCTATATATTCTATAAATAGGATGGAATAAATGTTACAGGCTTGTTGGAATCTTGTATGTGGTGTTCTGTTGTCTACTCCAAAAATTAATACTTCATTGATTTTCGTCATGGAAAATTCACTCTTGCTGCTGGTTCCATTGTTGCTTTGGCACCTAGTGTTGCACCCAGCATTGTCATAAGATTAATCACATATCTTTCTTGAATGAGAAGTATTTCCTTATCAAATATTGAGACCCATGGTGAGGTCTCTAACTCTATTCTCACCAAAGGGTAGGGGCTCAAATCCTCGCTGACTTACTACTTTAGGAAAGAGGATGAGTTCATGGTGGTAGTATCCCCACACCCAGTTGCCACATCTTGGTATCCATTTCTACCGTTGACACCCCCAATTAA